ATAATATAAGTATACATATTGTATACCTAGAGGGGCACCAGGGACGATGTAAGAGTCACATGTACAGTGCTTTAAAGTGATCTAGGTCTTGTACTGCCGCTGTACTGAGCGACTTCCCTCTGCTATGAAAACACAAGGGGGTTGCTCGCTCAGCACATCGGCCATTCAAGCAACGTCTACTATGTTTATTAATACTCGGGCTGACTTCTAGGTGCTGGCTGGATGCTACTCACATGGCACTCCTCAGAGGCATCAAGGGGTGCTAGTACCATGTGATGGACATCCTCCCAGTCTACATTCCTCAATCAGCCCCTAAACGTTCCCCAAGTAAAGAAGAACTAGGGATGCGATACCGAATACCGTTAGTTCCATTAAGGAAGCCGGGGGGCGTGTTATGACTCGCCGCACAGCTTCCTGATTAGGTGGGAAGCCGGCTCCATGCCCCCTAAATCACCACATAAGGAAGCATGGAGCCGGCTTTATGGCTAACCAGGAAGCCGGAGGGCGGGTGAAGACCTGCCACCTGGCTTCCTGATTGGTCGGGAAGCTGGCCAATCAAGAACCTGGGCTGCGAGTCATTACATGCCCGCCAAGTGACAAGGGAGCGTGGGGCCATCTTCCCGGCCAATCAGGAAGCCGGCTAGCCGTGTAAAGAATCCGGTATTGGGAGAATTTGGGCAAGTACGAGTACTCCCCCACCTACTCTGTATTGGCACCGACACTGGTATTGGTGCATCTCTAATGAAAAACATGAGGCGCTTGCTGATCCACCAATGTGCTTAGCAAGTGACCAGCAGACGGGAAGTCGCTCAGCACAGGACCCAGATGAATGCCTAAAGCACCGGCTACTACAGTGTTTTACAGGATCCCTGTGGCCCTAAGAAGGATTAATATATACTTGGGGCCAAGCTGGCCAATACAAGTACACAAATATTTATACCTGGAGTTCAGCTTGAAATCTGCCTGCAAATGTCTTAACTGAAAAAATCAAAGTATCTACTTCACTAGAATGATGACAATAAAATACAGAGGTTGGGTTTTTATGGAGGGTTGAATACTAGAAAGTGACGCTACACTCAGGAGTTCAATCTTAAGATACATTTTTGTTAATAGTGAAGGTTCTTGAATGTATTTTTGAGTATCACTCGGCTGTCGATCATTTTTAAGATGTAACTCTCTGACTTCAGTGTCACTTTAAAAGACAACCATGGGGTAACCTTTTCTTAAGGGTCACGGGAGGACATACACTAACCTCCTCCCATGACCCAAAGCACACTATATAAATCGCAAGCTACAGCTCGCGGTATACTGAGAGCGCTGCAGCTGGGACGGATCCCTACAATACCAAGCTGGCTGATTGACAGCAGACTCTGCCTATCTAGAGCAAGAGCCAGCTGTGCCCCGCCCAATTCTCCCATCAGCGTTGGAGGATCGGATCAGGGAATCCTTGAGGGGGGTAATGACTGACAGCCACTGCTCTCTGCAGGGAGATGATCGGGAAGTGAGCGAGCGACGGTATGTGTTCTCTCTCTTCCCGATCTATAGAGCCGACGTGCGAGTTTAAATGTCACAGGTTGGCTCTAATTAGGAGGATGAGTGGAAATCACTCGCCTCATAGTTCTCCTTTAATGCTACAGAAAAGGGGGAGGGACCAACTCCACATTAATGCCATGGTTAGGAACGAGGAAAGGGTTCATGGAGGTGAGATGGTCAGGTGTTCACAAACCTCCAGGTATATAGTGTACATACATATGTTAGATTAAGGCCTCATTCACACTGCCGCGCATATACGCTCGTATTGTACCATATGCAAATAAATGGCTCCATACATACAGCCGCGTATGGAGCTGTATATTTGCGTAGCGTATATATGCGCAAAAACAGAATGGAACAGAGATGCGTCCGGGCAGCGTATTTCTGCGTATTTACGCACATATACGCGTACAGCACATTAAAAATTCCATTACGAGTGATGCATTCTGGGATTGCATATAGTGCACGCATATACAATTTTGCTTGCGTTGTGTGTGAATGAGGCCTTAAGGTGCCCATACATTTGCGGAAGTTCGGCCTGTTATTAATGTACCGGCCGACATTTGCACAGTGTGTGGGGCTGACGGCTACCTTACAGCCGCCATTCCTCATTCAGCTGATCGAAGGAGGCGACTGGAAAATCTCCTGTGCGATACAGAGCCAGCAGCCAATGAACTGCGCGCTCTGATCGGGTCTTCTGATCGGTGCTGGCGGCACTTGTCAGAATACAATGCAAGGAACGGCAATTCCTCGATGGACACGCTGTTTGTGTTGGAGGGATCGTGTCCAATTTGTTTAGTTCAGCTTGCGGGTTGAATGAAAAAAAATTGACATGTGTATGGCCGGCCTTCCACAGATATCAGATCCTCTTCATAACAGACCGACCATGAACACGACATTCTATCTGTATGATCGGTTTTGGCGTCAGGAAACATCTCCGTCATGTTTCTGCTTCAGAGCTCAGCAGGGAATTTATCAAAACTAGAGCCGCAGCGCACAGCAACCAATCAGCTTCTAGCTTTCATTTTTAAATCTTAACTTAAAAGATAAGCTGATTGGTCGTCATGAGCAACTGCTCCAGATTCTGTCGGCTCCACTCTTCATAAATTCCCCCTTGCTGTGTCCTGTGAGTAACCCCTCCATTACTGCACTGTACACAGCACTCATCTTTACACGCTGAACATGGGTGATCTCCCCCGTTCTCTCTACACGGAGGACTGTGCGTGTCTGCGGTCTCCCCCGTTCTCTCTACACGGAGGACTGTGCGTGTCTCAGGCCTCCCCCGTTCTCTCTACACGGAGGACTGTGCGTGTCTCAGGCCTCCCACGTTCTCTCTACACGGAGGACTGTGCGTGTCTGCGGCCTCCCCCGTTCTCTCTACACGGAGGACTGTGCGTGTCTCAGGCCTCCCCCGTTCTCTCTACACGGAGGACTGTGCGTGTCTCAGGCCTCACTAGACTTCATGAATAGATTGAAGGATGAAGCCATTGATCATTGATGTCCATGTTCAGGGTACTCGCTGGTCACAGGACAGAGAATGGAGCCGCCTCTGAACTCATCTCCGGCACGGAGCCAATACTTCTTCTATGTAATTGTATGAAACGTTGTTTACAAATTGTATACAGAGATCCGACCGTGACCCCGAGGAGCGATTATTCTTCATGCCTAGTCCTCTGACGGAAAACAGCCCACGCTCCCCCACCCCAGATGCATACGTACCCGACACAGACCGCCCCTGCCACCCTCACAGAACGCCACCCTCATCAAGTGGCCAAAATCTTTGTACCACTGGCCACATCTGATGCCCACAGAGGTTCCCCGACATTGACTCTTCAGCATCTCCAACCCCAGGGAGTGGTCCCATAGAAGTCTATTGGAAGCAACTGCACAGGCGTGGAGGAGTGCCCTGCCCTTACCCTTTATGTGAAAGCATGGGCGGGGGGGGAAGAGACAGAACAGAAGTGCCATGCCCCGCATGCTCAGTAACGCATAAGTGTAACACTTCCAGATACTGATCTTCACAGGGATCCCAGTACTCCCCCCAGACAATGGCTTCACCAGCTTTTCTACCCACGACAGCACCATCTTTGCTCAGGCATCATCCAGGGTCACCATGTACATTCTGGACTGAGATGCCGGTTCAGTTATTATTATACAGGATTTATTCAGGACTCACAGCTTGTGCCGCGCTTTACAATACAAGGAAGTCACAAAGTTGGCACAATCATGTGACTCCAGTGCCTGTGTTCACAAATATCTGACACAGATCCGCCCCTGCTGTAGCCTCTCACCTTGTGACTGGCTACAATGTTACCATGTTTTCAGTCTGATCACTGGGGGAGGGGAGACTGAGAAAATGCTTCCTCCTGCCTGCAGCAGACAGATGACATCTCAGCCTAGGCAAAGTCACTGCACTGGAGCTCAAGGGCAGCTTTTAAATGTTAAGTGTCAAACATATACTGGTCCCATTATGTTGTGACATCAGAAATGTATTCAAGTTACTCAGCGATCAACTTTTAAAGCTGAACTCCAACATAAGAAACTATCATCCTCATATAAGAGTCATGTGTGTTCTTCCTGGTGAGCTTTGTGCATTCCTTCCAGATCTGTGCAGTAATCCAGCGTGAGACTTCCTGTAATAAAGACCGCTCACTGCTGCTTTCTCAAAGAGACAACTCACTGCTTCTCTCTCTCCTTGTGCAGAGTGACTGGTCTTGTCTCATCTCCGCCCCCCTCCTGTAGTGGATGGGGCCCATATACAGCACAGGGGTGATGCCTGCTCCTTTCACAAAGTAATAACTGGGTTTGCAGAGTCATGTGATGCACACAAAGCAAATCCATATCCTTCTGAGAAACCCTTTAGAGTTTTTGTGGTCCAGAGTTCAGATTGAAGTCAGAGGATCAGTATAACAACCAGGCAATAGCATTCACAGATGATGTTCAGCAATGGCCGGCCGTGCATCTCTGTCAGCAGAGGAGGGCAGTGTGTTCAGTATTCCAGCATACAATAATGTTTGGTAATCGGGGTTTGTATGACAAGAAAATGAGGGGGGGATGGGAAAACACAGCCCTCCTGGAAATAAGAGACAGCCATGGAAATATGGAACAGCATATACCTCACAAGCTTATATATGGCCTCATAGCTGAGCCTCACACGATCTCTGTCTGTGCTCCCCTCAACGAGCCAATCAGCTTCTCCCTTTCCGGTTGCTAGGGCAGGTCAGCCCAGGACAGGGGAACAGCTGGAGCTCAGCACGCACACGAGGCCCACAGCTGCCCCTAGCAACCAATCAGACGATCCCTTTCATTTCCTGCCACTGCATGGGCGCTAGCAAAGGAATCTGACCAGTTGCTACGGGCGACTCAGCCAATTCTTCGGATAAGCAGTCAGGAGGCCCCTCTCCCCGGCTCAGGCCCGTCACACGCACACGGCGTCAAAACGTTCCCCACCTCCCCCGCACACTCACCGGCTGAGGAGTGAGTCAGACAGTGACCCGGGCTCCCTCCGTCCCCCGACCCGGCGGCCTCTCACATCGCCCAGCTGCCAGTCAGTCTCCCTCTAGCTCCGCCGAGATGTCATCACCGCACTGCCGCTCTACTGCGTCACTTCCGCTGCAGAGGGAACGGGCGGGGACAGCACATGATTCGACCAATGGAGAAAGAGCGTGGGGGGCGTGGCGGAGGACTAAACGCCACAGAGAGCAAACCGGGAAAAGACGTCCTTCTTCTCTATGGTGGTGACCGAAGGGATGACGTCATCGGAAGACGGGAAGGCGCCATGTTGGAGGTGGCACAGTAGCCGGAGATTGAGCGTCCAGGTGAGTGTGAAGGGTGCATGTGCCTGTCATGAGGTATGACAGGGTCCCTGCTCTCAGTACTGAGGGTGGCTCTTGGATACATTTGTACGTAATAAGGGGGGCTGAGTCATGAAAACTGCAGCTGCTGCCAGTAGCAGCCCATCAGAGACTTTATTTTATAATCTCAAACATGGTTGGTTGCTATGGGCAACAGATCCAGGTTTCTAAAATAAAAGAGCAGCCACAATTCCTATTAAAAAGTAAAATATGAAGTTTAGGTTTTGTTGTGTCTTCAGATAAACTCAATTTTGGATAACCAGAACGCATCTGTATTATAAACATATAAGCCAGAGGAACAACAAAAGAGCTAGATGCTCCTCCAGCCAGGAAATGAAGCGCAGTCCATCTGAACATTGAGAGAAGCTCCCAGTGTGCAGTGAAATCAGACACAGACATGGCGCCATGAAGCAGAAGTATGATGGGATTGTAGTTACACCACAGCTGGAGTGCCGAGGTTGGCTACCCCTCATTTATACCAAGACTAGTGATGAGGCTGGGCTGGGTGTGAATTATTATTATTATTATTATTAGGGATGAACAGATACAGGTTTTCCGATATTGAGTACGAGAACTGATATTTATATTTCGGTACTCGCCGATACTGAGTACTGGTACTTCTGCTAGTATGGAGCCGGCTTCCCAGGCAATCAGGAAGCTGGGCGGTGTTTCTTACCTGCTGCCCGACTTCCTGTTTGCCCCAGCCAATCTGCATGGGGCAACATCTCAATGTTGATTCGCTTGGATGCCGGCAGCGAGCTGACTTCCCGGCCAATCGGGAAGCCGGGTGACTGACCATTAGCTGCCACACGGCTTCCTGATTGGCCAGGAAGCTGGCTCCATGTTCCCTCTGACCAGAAGTTCCGGTATCAGAAGGTATCGGAGCATTTGGATGAGTGCACGTCCAAATACTCGGTATCGGCACCAATTCTAGTATCGCTATCGGTGCATCCCTAATTATTATTCTGCCATTTTCTACTCTTCTGTCCTCAGGTTTTCAACCCTTGAAGATCAGCCATTGTGAAAAGAACATTTGTAAAGATCAGGAGGAGAACGTGTCGCTGAGTCCTGATGGCTGTGTCTCTGATCAGCAGAGGCCTCAGGACTGGAGGACGGTGCTCCTGGTCCATTCGTAAAGTTGCTTTCTCCAGAATATCTCAAATATCAGCGAGACCACAAAGCCCGGGAAGACCACAGATGCCCAATGTGGAGGAGGGGTGCAGAACCTTCCAGACTACAGGTAATGGAATTGTGATCGAGAAATCTTATTAATGTTCCTTTTATCTATATCTGCATATGTGTGAGAATTACACCAATACTATCCCGTACCTGGTCTGGGAGACTGGATGGGTGAGGAGGCTTCCCTTGCACCTCGTGTCTTGTGGCCTTTGAGGATGGTGAGAAGAGGTCAGGCAGACACCGAGTGGCACGAGTGCCAGTGGCTATGAAACCGTGCAATCAGAAGGGTAATCCAGAAATCGAAGTCAAGGCAAGCCGAGGTCAAAAAGCCGGGAGGTCAGATGCAGTACCGAGAGTTTAGGCAGAAGAAGAATCAAATAAACAGTCCGAGGTCAAAAAGGCGGGCAGCAATCAAGGAAGTTGGTTGAGGCAGGAACAGGTCCAAATCCAGGCAAACGGTATTCAAGGCAGGGAACAGGATACGAATACACAAACAGGAGCTGAGAAGACAATCCAGCAACTAAGTGACATGCAGGTCTGGTTTATATAGGGAAGTGGGCCAATCATGCACGTCACTTCCTGTGCGCCCTTGGCGCGTTTTTCTTGTGACTCGCGCCGTATGTGTGTCACTTCCGGTGCACCATACGGCGCGTCTTTCCGTGGCAATGACTTGCTGTGCGCATGCGCCTGTTTATCATGCCCACAAACTAGCATGTAAAACAACTTGTCTCACCACTAAGGACAATGACAGAGGTTTGGATACACGTCTTCTGCAAAGGATGTGTAAGCCGCACTGCCGCGCCAAGGCACCTCTTATAGTGCGGTCCTAACTCTAAACTATGAGAGTCTCCATCTTGGAGCACATGGGGCAGAAGATATCAAATTGGGTGCAGGCCTGTCAGGAGGACGCCCCACCTCCTTAAAGGTACAGAAACACACAAGGGATCCCGCACATCCCATTGGCAGCTGAGAAACCCCATGCGTCGCTGCACCAAATCGGTAAAGCAAAACAAACGACAAACGCACTCAACAATTTGTTACCAGTTATACAGTAAGGTGCACACGAAATGGGCTTTGAACAGTAGAACAGTAGAAAGGCATCATGGCACACTCACAAACCAGCATGTAAAACAACTTGTCTCACCACTAAGGACAATGACAGAGGTTTGGATACACGTCTTCTGCAAAGGATGTGTAAGCCGCACTGCCGCGCCAAGGCACCTCTTATAGTGCGGCTTACACATCCTTTGCAGAAGACGTGTATCCAAACCTCTGTCATTGTCCTTAGTGGTGAGACAAGTTGTTTTACATGCTGGTTTGTGAGTGTGCCATGATGCCTTTCTACTGTACCACTGTTCAAAGCCCATTTCGTGTGCACCTTACTGTATAACTGGTAACAAATTGTTGAGTGCGTTTGTCGTTTGTTTTGTTTATCATGCCCGTCCCGCGGGACTTGGCACATGCGCGGAACAGGCATGTTGCTTACAAATGCACGGCCTGGTCAATAAAACCCCACTCTGATATTTCATTGGACCGTCTTTAGCTTGATTACGGCGCACATTTGCCGTGGCGTCATTTCAGTAAGCTTATGCAATGTCACAACATTTATTTCCCTCCAGAGTTACATTATTTTTTCCCCAAGATCTTGTAGTGATGATGGGAGAGTCGGACCTCTGTGTAAAGTCTTCTCCAGCACATGCCAAAGACTCTCAATGGGGTTAAGGTCTGGACTCTGTGATGGCCAATCCATGTGTGACAATGAAGCCTCATGACCCTTGAACCACTCTTTCACAATCTGAGCCCGATGAATCCTGGCATTGTCATCTTGGAATATGTCCAATGTGCCATCAGGGAAGAAACAATCCATTGATGAAAAAACCTGATCATTACGTATATTCAGGGAGCAGCTGACCTCATTTTTTGGGCTCATAACGTTGCTGAACCTAGACCTGACCAACTAAAGCAACCCCAGATCATAACACTGCCCTATATCCAGGTGGTGACTTTTGTTTGGCCAGGCAGAGTACATTTACTACAATTTGTTTTGTATTCTGTCCGTTTCTGATTATTGCTTGTGGTTCGAGGACATGACTGAGTTCTTTGTATTTAGCTGCTGCCCAATCGGAAGACGCCGGTCTTGCAATTGAGCCATGTGAAGACACGTGAGTCAGAGCATTTCCCTGTGTTATGTATGTCTATCATCAACATTTCACTGCTGGGCCGAGTAAAGCATCACATAAGTAACAAAGTTAAAGTGACACTAAATTTAGGAGTTAAATCTTAAAAATACATTCAAGTAACTTAACTAATACAATATATCACATATCCCCATTCAAAGGTGATCCCGCCATAAATCCAATACTGCAACTATAAAATCATATATAAAAGGAGAATATCATATATCTCCCTGAATGGGGATATGTGATATATTGTGATATAATATAGTGGAGACCCACCATTTGAGATTATATGTTATTGAAATATTTTCTTGATTGGGACCCTCCCTCCCCATATGCACATATAACAAAAAATTGGACACGGAAGCGCCACTACCTGGCGCAATAAATGTGGTAGAGCAGGGTGTAAGCGTTGGTGATTTACTCACCTGAGGCTGGGTGAGCATTCGCTTGTACTCATCAGATTGTGGTGAAGCGGATGGAGTGGTGGTGGGGGTGATCCCTCTTCTCCAGGGTGGCGTAGCGATTGGACCCAATCAGGCAGATGGAGACACAAGAAAGCGAGGGGGAAGAAAGCTCAACTTCGGCTTGAAAAAGAAGGTTTCACCTTCGAAACGCGTCGCCGTCAGCCCGGTCTCCACTTAAACCCTGAGTGTCTCCTACACTCCACCTGCCCAGAGACATTGCCCGCGCCGCAACACCTGCAATACAGGACTGCCCGTCAACCCGGTCTCCACCGATCCCCTGAGGGTCTCCCACACTCCACCCGTCTACAGACACCGCCCGCGCCGCAATACCCGCACTACAGGATTCCCCAGCAAACGCCTGTAGGTCAGCCCCATCGCATTGTCAGAGAGCCACGGCGGCTGAACACTCTGCCATTCCGGCGCCTCCATCACTCTCCAGTCCCCCCATCCAGGACACCACGTCGCTCCACCTCTTCACAGCACCTGCCATCAGAGGACACCTGTGCCAGAGGTCCTGAGGACCTTCCCACTGCCCACCGCCCAGGCACATCTGTGGCCGCACCGTCATCGCTGAGAGTCGCCCTTCAATATCCCCACGGTGAGTTACAGAAGCCCACCTCTTCTTCACCCACCACTGCATACCTCACCCCCTCGCTTTCTTGTGTCTCCATCTGCCTGATTGGGTCCAATCGCTACGCCACCCTGGAGAAGAGGGATCACCCCCACCACCACTCCATCCGCTTCACCACAATCTGATGAGTACAAGCGAATGCTCACCCAGCCTCAGGTGAGTAAATCACCAACGCTTACACCCTGCTCTACCACATTTATTGCGCCAGGTAGTGGCGCTTCCGTCTCCAATTTTTTGTTTCCTTAATGGATGATCTGTATTGTATTATAGGGTTAATTAAAAGCTGCTGTACTATAGACAACTAGGTCCAAGAATGTTTTAACTGAATATACAGCGCTAATAGTTCAATCGGCAACTGTAGGGATGACTAAATATAGGTGTATAGACGCATAGTGGTTTAAATAAATAAATTAGATCACTATAGTGAATTAAGTGCAAACCTTCATATATTAAAAAAAAATTGCAAATCTATAACGCCAAACAATAAATATGCATGTGAATCAATAGGTGTCACATATATGGGATATACTGTAATATTATATAAAACTCTATAGAGTAAATATTGTACAAATCGTGATTTGTTAAATGTGCAAATCCTTCTGCATCAATCATCACATTAAATGAATGAATACACAATGAATATATATTATCCTTCAACCTTCATTTAGTGAATAAATAAATTGTGATCTATCCCTGCTGTGAAAATAAATCACTGTGCAAAAATTAAAAACGTTTAGACATCAAGCAGCAGCGTCCATTGTAAGTGATTTCATCCGCATTTAAAATAGCTTAAACTCCTTTTTTGTCTTTCATGTGACCTGACCCGGCCTTTCTTGTACAGTGTTGTCATACCCGGATATCTCTCCCCGCAGGGTGGACGTTGTCTTTATAGATCGGGCCGGCAAGCGCATCCCTGTTAAAGGGAAGATCGGGGAGAGTGTTCTGTACCTGGCACATAGGTACGCCGTGGACTTGGAAGGTGAGTGATTACTGAATGTGGAGAGATTGGAGGGTTTAAAGAGAGCGTGAGTAAAAAATCCGAGCAAAGCACGTACCTGTACAGAAGACACAGAGGGGGGAATTCATCAAAGCTGGAGCAGACAGAATCTGGAGCCGCTGTGCAGGGCAACCAATCAGCTTCTCAATTCAGTTTGTTCAGTTAAGATTTGAAAATGAAAGCGAGAAGCTGTGCGCAGTGGCTCCAGGTTTTGGCTGCTCCAGCTTTGATACATTCCCCTCTAGATATGTACTTCTGCCCATGCCGCCCCATTCCTGACAAATGTGGCGGCATGTCTCAGTGGGAAAAGGAGACTTCTAAGGTCAGCCGGAGACGTGGTGACATGGAGGTCAGCCGGAGACGTGGTGACATGGAGGTCAGCAGGTGACGTGGTGACATGGAGGTCAGCAGGTGACGTGGTGACATGGAGGTCAGCCGGAGACGTGGTGACATGGCGTCACTGGTTGCCAGGAGCTGGACAGGATGCCGGCCAGAGTATCCCAGGTTCATAGGAGCTGAGCGGGAAGATGTATTCGACCTTTACACATCTCCCCACCCGGCTCTCCGCAACCTGGGGCGATCTGGCCGGAAAGGGGGTGGCAGACATTGTGCAGTAGATCAACCATGGCGCTCTACCTGCCGCCCCCCTTCCACATGACCCAAAGAAATGCCGTCTGAGGTAACAGACTCTGGATGCCTGATTAAAAGGACGGGCCTGACTATGTGGACTGATGAAGCAAAATTGAACCCTTTTAATTAGGGTTGCCCCAATACCGATACTAGTATCGGTTACGGGGCCGATACCAGGCACTCGTGAAAATGCCCCGATTCTTAAGGCCGATACCGGCCCTTTACATTTTCAAACCGCAGCGGCCGTCCGAGTTCCCGTGCTTGTGGGGACCTCTGCAGCCTGCTGGGGACCTGCAGAAAGCTGTCCATGGCAGTGCCTGTCCGGTTCTTTATCTCCTAATCCTCCTCCCCGGTGCAGGCACTGCCATGGACCGCTCCGGGGGCGAAACTACCACTCCAGGGCTAGAATTTGGGGGTTCCCGCCGCACACTGACTGGGAGGACTGGGCCCAGCAGTGCAGATAGTCGGCCGGAGTGGACGTGGAGGAGACCGGGTCTCAACATCAGCGGTGAGGTGGAGTGCCCGCAGAGCCACTGCAGATGTCCACGTCGCCCGGTGAGATCGACACACAGCCTGCTGAGAGGAATTCTGCTTGGGGACATGTATTCGCAGAATATATGTCCCCAGAGCAGAATACTATTCTCCCTTAGGGACATGTGTTTAGCTTTGGGGACATGTGTTCAGTTCTGGTGACATCCGTATTGAGCCCTGGTGAGAAACTGCCCTAAAATTATCAGTCTGTGTTGTTTTAGTAAAAAATGTGACATGTCACTTTAAGAAAATGTATTGGTAATTGGTATTGGCAAGTACATGAGGGGCAGTACTTATACTTGGTCTTAAAGTGGTATCGGGACATCCCTGATTTGAATGTGTTTCTGTAATGCGGTCAGATTGTATAATCCGCATCAATCTGTCTGTTTACATTTTCACTGCAGCCGCCTCTCCTGTGCTCTGAGAACACTGCTCTAATCAACATCGCTGTCACTTCCCGAGTCCTAGCCTGCAACTTGTGCACCATTGCTGCAGCACCTAACTATTAGAAAAAGACATTCATCACTCTATATACAGTGTAACCGGATGACAGTTCTAAATGAAGAGAGTGTGATTTGAGATTTAATCATTCGGCTTCAGTTTTATTGTCCTCCTTTTTTTTTCCCTCAGGGGCCTGTGAATCTTCCCTCGCCTGTTCCACGTGTCACGTCTTCGTCAGCCCCGAGTTTTCTGATCAACTTCCAGAGCCAGATGAGAGGTAATGTAGTTCCGTCTGTGTTGCTCATACAGGTGAAACTCGAATAATTAGAATATCGTGCAAAGTTCATTTATTTCACTAATGCAACTTAAAAGGTGAAACTAATATATGAGATAGACTCATTACATGAAAAGCAAGATAGTTCAAGCCGTGATTTGTCATCATTGTGATGATTATGGCTTACAGCTCATGAAAACCTCAAATCCACAATCTCAGAAAATAAGAATATTACATGCAATCAATAAAACAAGGATTGTACATAGAACAATATCGGACCTCTAAAAGAACTTTTTTGCACGATATTCTAATTATTTGAGTTTCGCCTGTATATGAGATGATGAAAGAACCAGCAATTCTGAAATGTTTCTCACTTAGACCTATACATAATAGGAAATCACCTGCACTCCATGCAGCGTACAGACCTTGATGAAAGGTTGGTGCTTGACAGGGGCGGAACTACCGGCGGTGCCGCCGCCTCGGGGCCCACTGAGATCCATCCCGGGGTTTGTGGCCACTGAGCGGGGCCCTTTAAAGGCGGTGGCGATCACTTTTTCCTGCACAAGGGCTTCTGAGCAAGGGGGCGGGTCCTATGACTCACCATCTCCCGGCAGCGTCCTTAGTAACAGGCGGCAGGAGAGGAGGGTGTGTCTGTGTCACATGCCCCGCCCCCTGCACACTGTGGTCATGATGCTGGATCCTATACAGGGTGAGTCTGGACGGAGGACTGAACGGCCGTGAGGGGGAGGCGGTGGGCGAATGTGCTGCCGGGGGTCTTGTTGCGGGGGGAGAGGGGGTCCGGTATATGTGTACAGTGAGAAGTTGGGCTCTTTATATGTATGTCACGGAGGGAGTTGTGTATATATGTGTACAGTGACAGCTATACCTGTGAGGCTCAGTATATGCATTGAGCGCTGCGCAGCTGCCATTAAACTCCACACAGCCCACCTGAGAGCCACACAGCCACCATTAACACCGCACAAACCACCTTTAACCCCACCATAGACACATCATCCAGTGCTGGTGACTTCCATTATGGACTGTATCCCACTTAGACCTGACACACTTTACAGATCGCACCATCTGGTGTTGGGTCATCCCGGAATCTCTCTGACCTTCATTATTTTATTCTGCCTCTGATGGTCCATAAGGCTGTTTTTATTAGTGGTGTTGCTTGGAAGGAGGAACCTCTGCGCCCCAACCTCCAGGCTTCGATGGGCATGAGGTCTTTCTTGGTCCAGCATGATTTGGTTAGAAGATCCTGTCATATGGCAGAACTTACAGTAGGGCTGCAAGTAATGATTATTTCCATAAACGATTAGTTGGCCGGTTTACTTTTTCTAGGGATGCACCGATCCCGGCTTTTCGGCATCGAGTACTGATATATTTTTTTCTGGTACTCGCGGATACCGAATACCAATACCGGAAGTTTAATTTAGGAAGCCAAACGGCGTGTAATGATTCGCCGCCCAACTTCCTGACTAGCTGGGAAGCCAGCTCCCTCGTCACAAGGAAACTTGGAGCTGGATTTCTGGCCAATCAGGGGGGCAGGTGATGACTCGCCGTCCGGCTTCTTGATTGGCCAGCCTACCGACTGGTTCAGGAAGCTGGGTGGCAAGTCATTAGACACCGCACAGCTTCCTGATTGGTCGGGAAGCTGGCTTCATGCTCCCTTCAAGTGACAAGGGAGCATGGAGCCGGCTTCCCACCAATCACAATCACAAAAGTGATGACATGAACTCCTGACATGGACTACAATTTTATACGTGCCGATGCTACCAGCGCTGGTTAATAAAACAAATGACAAAACCCTCATTGTAAGGAAACGGAGTGTTCGCCACAACCATTCAGAACTTCCCCACCCCTGTAGCACTGCTCACAGTCTTATTAGTGACAGCGGGACCAGGAACAGAGCAATGCGCATTAGTACCACCCGTGCAATGCGTATGAGCACAAAAATGCACAAGACTCGGTAGGGTTTGTCCTAATATCTAGGCAGGATGGCAAACGCCCACAATGGGAGTTTTTCAGACAGGAAATAGGGCTGCTGCAAATGGCCTACTGGTATGGCCTTAAAACTAAGCAAAAGGTTTAGAAGCTGCTCTGTGTTTTACCTACTGGGGCCCCCTTAACTGCATATTGAATTTTGTTCAAAAGGTGAACTTTGCCTTTTAATGGAGGAGGGAGGGGGTAGGTCTGACTACGGATATACTTTATAGGCCAAAACATTATGGACTTACATGGTTGCAGGCAAGCTGAATTTTTGTATCTCTGTAAAATGTCTGTGCTTAGAGCTCTCCACCAGTACTCACAGTTGTGGTTCGATCTCTCCACCAGTACTCGCAGTTGTGGTTCGATCTCTCCACCAGTACTCGCAGTTGTGGTTCGATCGCTCCACCAGTACTCGCAGTTGTGGTTCGATCGCTCCACCAGTACTCGCAGTTGTGGTTCGATCGCTCCACCAGTACTCGCAGTTGTGGTTCGATCTCTCCACCAGTACTCGCAGTTGTGGTTCGATCTCCCCACCAGTACTCGCAGTTGTGGTTTGATCTCTCCACCAGTACTCGCAGTTGTGGTTTGATCTCTCCACCAGTACTCACAGTTGTGGTTCGATCTCTCCACCAGTACTCACAGTTGTGGTTCGATCTCTCCACCAGTACTTGGTTGTGTCCAACTGCTGCAGCCATTACACAGTCAAATGATGGTGTCATACTTCTGGTATTTTCACTATTCTACTACAACTTTAGTTGGATAGAAGGCGCACATCTTGAGTTGTACTGAGATTAATTTATATCAAAGAAGGTAACGGGCCCCTGTCATTCTCATTTTACTTTTGCAGGGAAGAGGATATGCTGGACATGGCCCCGTTATTACAGGAGAACTCCAGACTGGGATGTCAAATTATTCTCACTAAAGAACTGAACGGAGCCGAGTTCACACTTCCTAAAATCACCAGAAACTTTTATGTGGATGGACACGTTCCCAAACCCCACTGAGGACGGCCACGGGGAATCCTAATGGTTCACTCATCAGCATACGCACAAGAGGGAAGCTGGTAGCTGATTCTTAATGGGAAACGTGTGTCAGGAACGTCATTCCTGGAGCACAAAGCCAACTGGTAAACCAAAGTGTCTGTTCATAGGGGATTCTACAGTGCGCGTACCGTGTGTGGTAGATGGTGGAGACTTAAACCCCCTGACTGTTTCTTCTGTGTCTTAGTAAGTCTTTTGGGGAGATCTCTGCACTGAGTTCCTGAGTCTGTACACCTCCTGTGCCCATTATGAGGGGTTCCCACTATCTCTGCATTGAGTTCCCGGGTCTGTACATCCGCTGTGCCCATTATGAGAGGCCCCCACCATCCTTGTGCTGAATGCCTGGGTCTGCACACCTGCTGTGTCCATTGAGGGGTTCCCACCATATCTGCATTGAGTTCCTGGGTCTGCACACCTAATGTGCCCATTATGAGGGGCTCCCACCATCCCTGAGCTGAGTTCCCGGATCTGCTTGCCCATTATGAGGGGCTCCCTCCATCACTGTACTGAGATCCAGGGTCTGCCCACCTACTGTGCCCATTATGAGGGGCTCCCTCCATCACTGTACTGAGATCCAGGGTCTGCCCACCTACTGTGGCCATTATGAGGGGCTCCCTCCATCCCTACTGGATTTTTTTTTGTTACGTTTTGGAGAATGAAGCAGGAGGAGCTGAAACACACAAAGGTGGACAGGACTGGTCGGAGATCGAGTTGTTGGAGCATACAAGACAAATGGCTGACACAGTCCTCCGGGCTCCATTTGTTACTAATATGACTCTTTGGGGTGGACGGGCACTACTCACCATTGGTCTGATTTACCTTCTGGCCTTTTATGTGTCCTGTGGATTCCAGATGTGACATCTTCCTACCAGAACTCTCAGCTCTGTCCTCATCCATCCAACAGTGTTTCCTCTCCCCCTGTTGTAGTCTATAAAATGGGATCCAGTTGGGATCCTTTTGTATTGTCTCTGAAGAAGAGACGGGCCCCGGGACTCGAAGGCAGAGATCTGACCACTGGAGTCAGGAGCCATTCAGTCCATGCTAGGAGCCAATGGACAGTTTTAAAGTGATCCATGCTGCCATTCCTCTGCCCCACCTAACAGTCCCTGGACATGGAGGCTATGAGACCCGTGGTGCTTCTTCTCTCCGGCCACATGTCTCCGGCAATCCCTAGAGAACTCTACTAGACTAGAAATCAGACTGTTGAAGGCAAAGTCAGTTTATCGGGGTGTGACCTCATCCTTCCTTTCGTGATTGACGGGAACCAAAATTCTTCTTGTGTTGGCCATCCTCTATAATAATAAAGAAGAAATACAGTCAGGGTAAGAGGAGGGATGAAGGAAAGGAAAGCAAGTGCAGCTGGTTTTGACTCAGAAAGGGGAATTTATCAAAACTGGAGCAGTTGCCCAGGGCAACAATCAGCATCCACCTTTCATTTTCAAACCTTAACTGAGCAACCTGAAGAGAGAAGCTGATTGGTTGCCATGGGCGACTGCTCCAGATTCTTCTGCTGCAGTTTTGATAAAGTCCCCCCCTAGAGTGTTTACAGCGGCTATATAGCATTTGCTAGGGAGCTGTAGCAGGAGAGAGGGAGCCCCTCTGTGTACAGGTTCTGTTCGATGACATGGTACGGGGTCATTTTAAGGCATGAAGAGGTATGCTCTGCTACCGACATCGTCTGGAAGAAAGCGCACATGCACATGGAGATTAGGACTGCCTTTTATTTTTTTTAATTTCTAGGATTTCACATTAGATAAGTGAACCTGTCATTATTAAAATATGGATATTGCCGAGAGGTGGCGGCACGTGCCAGCAGCAGCTTTGATTGCTGCCTAAATAACCAGAGGGCACCTCGTTGTGACTGAGTTTCTTTGACACCCTCAATGCACTCCTGTGGTAGGCCCTCATTGTGAAGGGCCATTAGGGGAATGCAGAGGGGCAGGAGGGAACAGACGAGCTCCAACACTACCCAATGGGCGCCTCTCCTGGGAACTGTGAAGCTCTGTGTTCCTGTGTCCAGAGGCAGGGAGATCCTTCACCATGGAGGTCAGGTCATGAGATATTTGTCCAACCTGCAACACTTCTGTGGGAAACCTAAGCGGGCCGAGATGGTATCACGAATGTGTGCTAAGTTTTTTTTTTTTTTTTTTTTTTTTCCAATTCCAAAGAAATGGCCGGAGGACGATCACACAGACACTTTCCAAAATCTTCAAAACTGGCTTCACCAGGGCACCGGGGATTTAAAATAGGGATGCACTGATACTGGTTTTTCGGTATCGATTACCGATACTTTGCTTTCAGTACTCGTCGATATTGAGCACCGATACCGGTGCTTCTGTTGGCATGGAGCCAGCTTCACGGGCAATCAGGAAGCTGGGCATTGGGTAATGACATGCCGCCTGGCTTCCTGATTGCCCAGGAAGGCTGCTCCATGTGGTGTGGCTGGCTTGCTTGCTTGTGATTGCCCAGGAAACCGGCTTCCCAGCCAATCAGGAAGCTGGGCGTCGAGTAATGCCCCTGCTTCTTGATTGGCTGGGAAGCATTGGGTCACATGCACTTTAATACAAATTTCCTTTCAAATAAACCGGTCACATTCTTGGAAGAAATGATCACAAGATAGTCCAGGACCTTCAGTGACAAGCGGAGGTCAGAATGAGCAGTAGATTCAAAGATGGAGGCCGGTGAAGTAATATGCAAACCTCGACTTTACTGACAGAAGTCAAACTTATCCCATCCTGCTTCAGGCCTCCCTATTGGTCCTTTAATTCAATGGTAGTCTGTTGAGAAGTGGGGGGAGGGTGCCAAACCAATTGAAACAGGATCTATGTGGACATTTGGTTTTCATCCTTCTGTATTATTTCAGCTACACAGTTTGAGTTGTCTCGGATTGTCACAAGTGACCTATCCCGTGCCTGCTGCACAGTTCTCACATCCTCTGCACATTCCAGCATTTTAAAACGGTGATTATACCACTGGCTGTCTGATTTACCAAATTGGCCGGTGGAGTGAAAAAAGTTGTAATATTTTGGGGCTGATTTATAAAGTGTTCACGCAGCGCATTGCTGAGTAAATGCCGTTCACACCACACTGTCCCCACTAGATGGTGCTGAGGAACAGGAATTACAAATACCCCGCAGCGCCATCTAGTGGTGCCAGTGTGAATGACATTTACCCAGCTATACCCTGTGTGAAAAATGACCTTTCCGCTTTGTATAGAGTCACAGAAGCTGAGCAGAGCCTTCTTTCCCATCAGCCCCAACAGTTAGCTAAAGGAGGAATAATAAGCAGCAGGGGCTGGACGTTATGACCTCGCACTGCTCCAGGGGCCACTGCTGACATTGACACCCAGCTAGAAGAGGTGAGCACTTCAGAATTCAGGACTCCAAACCCACAAGCACCCACTTCATGGCTTGGAATGGTCAAAAGCCCATGTGGGCTCATTCGGATGGGCATGCACCCCCAGTAAAAAGACCCGACCCCACAAGCGATAGGTGCCGCATGGAATTGCGTGCAGCAGCCTGTTCTTCCCTATGGGAGGACACGGCTACATGCAATCACATGCACACCCGAACCTGAACATCCATGGGGGGCCGGGTGCCCGCACTTGGATGCTCACGGTCTGCATAAGCCCCTAAAACACTAATTTCACGGGACGGGGCAGCGTATCACTTCAACAACCAAAATATAATTTTTTCCCCCCGATTTGGACATTTATAACAGATCCAGCCACTGTAATCATAAATATTTCATCCTTTCAATGACCTTTGTCTGCTTCCACCTGGACGGAATCCGTTATTTCACGCAAGTTCGCTGTTAACGCACATTTACGCTCCGTCAGCAAAGAGACGCACCAAACAAGCTGTTACCCACGGCAGCCAATCAGAAATCACCTTGCACTCTTCTGACACAAATAGTAAAATCTGATTGGCTGCTGTACTTTACATACAATTGTTTCTCTTTGCAATGCCTTACCTAAGAAGCAGGTTCCTTATGAGAGAGGAGGGCCGACCTGTTACTGTGTGTGTGTGTAGGACAATTTTATTTTATTAGAACAGAAGCCTTATTTCTGATTTTGTTCTGGTTCTTCTGTATATTACGTTGTAGTCGGCTGCTTTATGGTGTATGTACTTCGTGTGATAAATAAAGTGATAAGGTGGATGGTGCATTCGTTTTTCTCTTGTGTACAAGGCGACGCATGCTGCAGTAGGTTCAGAAGAACGTGTTCATTTTTTTCCCCTTTCACCTTGTTCCTGTAATGACAATCTATGCATACGGATGGGGGAGGAGTTCTGTAGTCCAGCAGGCAGGGCTGATACTACTGTAAGGGCCGGTGCCATCATTTTCAAACTGCACCCGTCGTGCCGGGCGGATTGCGCGGTTTCCTGCCGCATGTATCGCAGAAATAAAGTACATGTACCCTTTTTTTCCTGCGATTGCCGCGCGGATGTCACCCCATTGAAATCGTTGCGCAGGGCCGTGTGATCCTGGGACGCGTAGTTTTGCACGGGGCCTAATTGGGGCATCATAGCAAAAATAGATACAGGACCAATTTATACATCTTCCATTTAGCCATACACGGGGCAAATGCCATTTGCACGGCATGCCTGCCACTAGATGGAGCAGAGGAGCTCAGGAATTATTAGGCTCCACCTACTGGCAGGAATGACCTGCAAGCGACGTTCACCCAACATTCACCAATCATTCGTTCCAGGTCAGCAGCAGTTGTGAATTGTATAACCGTGACAGTATATGTCAGCTCCAGCCAGGTCTTTGTATGTGACTCATTAACCCCTTCACCTCCCTTATCCTACACAACTGTACTTTAACCCCTTCATCTCCATCCTCCCACTGTCTGTGGCCTGTACATGAAGCCTGTCCGCTGTGTATGACCCGTACATGTACCACGCTCCATGTTTCAACCCCCTCAGTACCAACACATTTCTTCATTTGGCAAAACCTGAGAATGGGGTGTCTACTTTACAAAAAGGGGGTCATTTGGGGGTGGGGGGGGTTATACTGTCCTGTCATATTATACAGGATTTATATAGCGCCCACAGTTTGCGCAGCGCTTTACAATATAAGGAAGACAATTACAATCACAAGACAAGACGGTGAGGAGGACCCCGCCCCTGAGGGATTACAATATTTGACGATTCATAACAGAAAGGGAATGAAGAAGCTCGGTGGATAATAAATATCACCAACAGAAAGCTCGGCCTGAAAGGAATGATAGAAAACTCATTTGGGTTCCGTGTTGCAGGACGGAGTCACAGCACCAGGAAATGTCCCGGACGGGAAGGGGCATCACAGGCTGGCACTCGAGTGTCCAATCCAACGGTCACTAGAACACGGCCGGGACTTGGGAACAAAACAACTTTTTTTTTTTGTAGTTTAGCAAAGTTTTTATTTTTTATAGATGGAAAATATTCACAATTACAATTACAATTTTTTTACATGGAATTCTAGAAGTTACATTCCTATTACACCTCAGTGATATTTACAGGGAAAAGTGCAGCCAAACCTGATTTTGGGTGATTTGGATCAGGGCTTGGTCCCCCGATGTGCCAATACAGTTCTCTGGAGCCTCAGCCAAGAGATTGAACCCCTTTTCTGTCCCCGGCTAAGCTGGCAAATGACTAACCCCTAACCTTTCCCATTACTAACTTCCCATGCCTTGTTCTGCACTGTCCCTGGTGGCCATCTTGGCAGAGGCAGGGCTTTGCTTCCTCCTATTAGACCCTCCAGCAAGCAGACCAGCAGAAGCGAACTCGCCAAATCTCCAGAGGCAGCAGTGCCTGAGATCTCACACTGCAGATATACAGCTATGAGGAGGAAGGCACAGGCATGCCTAGGCACCTCATATACCAGGAAGGGCTCTGCTATGTTTCAGCAGCAATTCCAGAAAAAGCTTAAACCTTGCAGGGTACTGCCTAGGCACAAAACATTTCCAGATGTTCCCTAGAACATAGAGAATCACTGATTTTGGGTCCATGTTGGAATTGTATTATAACAACGCAGGAAAACCCAAACACAGCACCTGCCTGTCACTACACTCCTCCGATGCTGCAAACTGACAGGTGCACTTTATACAAATAGGTGTAGTTGTAGACTGTCCTGTAGCCGATCACCCCAACACATCATAGAAAAGCTCCCTAAAAGTGTCACATGCACAGGGAGACCCTCAACACCGATACACAGTCATGGTCACAAATATTGGCACCCCTGCATTTCTGTCAGATAATGCACAACGTCACGCAGAACATTGCTGCAATTACAAAAGGTTTCGTTCTTTTTGTTTGTAGTGGTGACACAAAATGACAGTTTTTTGGTGCAGCCCATCATTCTACTGCTCTCAGGAAAAGAAATGAGGCTTTTGAAGAAAAACATGAAAAACACAGTCCCTACAGTCACAGTCAGAGGTCATGGCTTACAGCAGGACAATGACCCAAAGCACACGTCAAAAATCACCCAGAAATGGTTTCAGACAAAGTGCTGGAGAGTACTGGACTGGCCAGCAATGAGTCCAGATCTGAACCCCATAGAGCACTTGTGGAGAGATTGGGAAACGGAACCCTTCCGATCTGAGAGACTTGGAGCAGTTGGAGAAAGAAGAGCGCTCCAAAATTCCTGTAGAGAGGAGTAAGAAACTCATTGAGAGTTACAGGAAGCCAATGATTTCAGTTATTTTTCCTAAGGGCTGCGCTACCAAATATTAATTGAAGGTGCCAATAATTCTGTCCAGTCCATTGTTGGAGTTTTGTGTGGAATGTGTCAGATTTGGCTTTTTGTTCTTCATGTTTTTGTGTCACCAATACAAACAAAAGAAATAAACATGGGAATGCCGAAACATTTGTAATTGCAACAATTTTCTGCGTCAGAATGCTGCACTGGACCCCGGGGGGTGGGGGGGGGGAAATCACAAGCCGACGTTTGTTCAATTGATCCGTCTCCTCTGCTCCGGAAGCACAAACTCCATCATGTCCACTTTCATGTTGAATTCCTCTTCTGTCGCCTTCTACAGGAAGACAAAAAGTGAATGGTAACATTACAGAAAGTCAAATCTCACCCCCCACCTAAATTATTTAATGGGGTGTCTCACTAGCCAAATGAGGTGCCCCATGGATGGTGCCGTGGCATATGAATCCACAATCCAAGCTGAGCTTTACTTATTCTGGTCAGGGTTCAGGGATTCTGGGCTTCAGTGGACAGAGCAATTCAAAGCCTGTGCAGACCCTGTATAGAGCCCGTTATTACAATAGACAGGTTCACTTTAATAGCTTTATGTTGGGTGACATCACTCTTATTCTTCCCTTATACAAGACTTGTGAGGATTGCAGACATTTCCAGCAGAAGTAAAAAATACTAAGGGGCAAATTTAAAACAGAGACAGATGTCGCTATCCGGCGGACAGTGCAGCATTACACACCACAGCATGCATCATACAACCCATTTATAACATGCAGCCTGCAGCATACAGCTTACCGAGTCCCATATAGTTCCCTCTGCTCAACACTGCAGAGAGGACTCCATGCAGGAGGGGAACTTGGCTCCAGCTTTTGCTCGAGTTCCCCCAACTTACTGACATTACTGGTTGCCAGGAGCTCGGCGGGACACCAGCCAGAACATCCCAGGATGCCAATAGCTGGGTGGGGAGATGTGTATGGCCCTTGCACATCTCCCAGTCTGGCTCTTAGAAACCAGGGACGCTCTGGCCACAAAGGGGGAGGCAGGCGTACTGCTAACCGCGACCACTGTCTGCTGCCCCTCCACGTGACCCAAAGAGATGCTGCCTGGGGGACCCTGCTTACTGTAGCTGCTGGCTCTAGACACACACCAGAGATGCTGCACTTGTTGCAGTTTGCTTGGCCACCACTAGATGGAGCAGAATGGAAGACACTTGTAGTGATGGACCTGAGCAGCTGGAGCAGAAGGGAATGCTGGGAGCACAATGATCCGAGGATGGAGCTCACATTGTCTAAAACTCCTATTAATGAGCAAAATAAGCCAAACTGACCTGGCTGAGAAAAAGCCTGATAACAGGATTCTCTACCGCAGGAGTACCGGACCACTTCTTAACCCAATTTCTTCTGATTAGAAATGGATGTAGAAGAGAACTATTGCCTGCGAGAGGCAAAGCTCAAACCTGACCGTCAGTATTAATGATAAGCCTCAGAAAATGTGAGGGAACAGCCTGGAAGGGCTGCCCACTGCTTTCTATTACCGGGATGGGTTGCTCGGTGTTAGACGGCTGGCCATCTGAGGAAGAGTCCTCACCCCTAAAGACAGCAAACTGAGCAAGGGGGGGTGGGGGGGCACAAAGGGGATGTATAATGTACGGGGGGGCTCAGAGAAGTACAAAACCTCTGCAGGAATCCAACCCGGAGACCATCACTGGGAGCATGCTTCTCCTGAGCTACTGGTCCCTGCTGCCACTTACCAGTTCCCTCTTTGCCTCTTCAATCTTCAACTTTACCAGCGATGGATTCTAGAAGATAAAGGCCACATTGGGTTTAGAGAGAACCTGGTCACCATCATATCTTATAGACTAGAATGTAAAAATAAAATAAAGTGACTCTGGTGCTGATGTGAATATTTCAAACTAGAGATGCACAGATACCGTTTTTTCGGGACCAAGTACCAATATTTTTTTTCCGGTACTCGCCGATACCAAATACCGAGTACCGGAAGTCCCATTAAGGAAGCCAGGCAGCGTGTAATCACTCGCCCCCTGGATTCCCGATTAGCAAGGAGGCCCTGTCCATGCATCCTTGTCAACAGGTGACGAGGAAGCATGGAGCCAGCTTTATGCCCAATCAGGAAGCCGGGGGCGGGTAATGACTTGCTGCCTGGCTACCTGATTGTTTGAGAAGCTGGCCAATCAGGAAGCCGGGCAGCGAGTTATTACACGGTGCCTGGCCTCCTGATTGGCCGTCAAGCCGGTTCCATGTTCCCACATCAATCAGGAAGCCGGGCGGAATTTAATGACTCGTCATCCGGCTTCCCGATTGGCCAGTTTCCCAACCAATTAGGAAGACAGGAAGCGAGTCATTACACGCTGCCCGGCTTGCCGATTGGCCGGGAAGCCAGACAGCATGTAATGACTCACTGCCCGGCATCCTGATACCGGAAGTTCAGGTATCGGGCTACTTATCGGAGCATTTGGGTGAGTACTCGCCAAATACTCAGCATCAGCACCGATACCAATACTAGTATCGGTGCATCCCTACTTGAAATCCGCTTCCTACGAAGAGGAAATCACCGGCTGGATTTTATTCCAGAACTCGGGGTGAATCACTCTCCTGGGTCCCCACAGCCATCAGTGAATTCACCTGCCAACCTCCACCCCACTAATATACTGACATGAAGGTTGGTGGGGGTACCAGTGAGCTCTGCGGGGAACTCAGGAGATTGACACACCCAGCAGCATTGGTTCTAGAAAAGACTTCAGCCAGCAATTTCCTCTTCATTGTAGCGGCGTGCGACACCACAGGCAGTAGAGGAACATACAATATATACACCTTTATATTAGGTGTTCAGGTTACAGGCATAGTTGCTATAATAAAAAGCAATCTGAATTTTCAGAGAATTACCCTTTAAGGAAAAGTCATTTTTGTTGTGCTCTTCATATTTTCAATTTGAGGTGTTTACTGTCCCATATTTTCATGCTTGTATTACTAATTGCAGTGGGATATTGTATATCAAGGACAAGGTCTGTTTTCAGTGAGTCTGGGGTGACCCATAGACTTGTACAGAGAGAAGCACAGCTGCTGCGAATCTCTAATCCAGAACATATGTAATGAGCACGCTATGCTGATCACAGGCACATGTACAAATGGAAGGTTTTAAAAGGAGTAAGGCAACAGTGCCGTGTCAGATTCCTCGCATCACCTTTCAACATCTCGTGGAGTCAGGAGGCGGCCCAACAAAGTCCTAATGGGGTGGTCATAATAATGTGGCCACTCAGTGTGTATATATACAAAACACGATTTTTGGGAATGCCAAGTACTGGATTGCAGCAAATCAGTTGTCTGTCTTCACAACGAAGAGGGTAAAGCAAAATCCAAGTCATCCAACATGTTTTCATGGACTGGGAGTTGGATAAGAGTTTAGACAAATAGAGAGGCAGACAGAGGTGGCTGCCCAGTGGTTTTTTTTTTAAAGATTGCAGTGATCACGTTAGACAAGCGGCATCGCCCGCCAAACAATATGCTGTATATATTTCTTTTCCCAAGAAAAAGTTGAAAATGTCTCACAAAGGGGACAATTATTATAGAGACTCAACCAATAAAACCCAGCTTACAGGTAAAAAGTGCCCTGTGGCAGCCCATTAATACCCGGCTCTTATGGCTGAATTCCAGGTCCTTCTGACCAAGGTTCCAGCATTTATGGGAAGTGTCAGAGAGCACAGACCTATTCCCCCATCACTATGATAGGCTGCCTTACTATTCAATATGAATCTGCAGGAGGTAAGAAGGGGGGGGGCAAGTTTTGTGACTATCCAAAGTGCCAGAGCTTTGTCTTAGCTCTCATATACCCCACATTATACTGCACAACCAATACAACTTACAGGGGCTAGGTCCAGGTAAGATTTAAGCTTCTCCTTTGTAGCTGTGGATTGTTCTTTAAGCTCCGTCAGCGTCTGAAAAACATGAACAAAAAAAATCAACATTACAAATCAGCAAAAACACCGCACTGATCTATGAGACAAGAAACCGTCTACAATGTAGTTTTTAACCCTTTATGATGTTAGGATTTATTATAAAAAGTGGGAAAGATGGGAATATTTTATTGCTGCTCATGTCTCCAGTAGGCTCCTCTGCAGTAGCCGCTGAGATCAGCTGCGTCGGTAACCTGGGGGAGCGGCGACCAGGGGAAAATCAGCTGCGAGGCAAACAACAGACCCCCTTCCTGTCCCGGCCATTTTTCAGTATTCAGCACTGCGGTACTTTGACATTTATTCGGTCATGTAACACTGTGCTGAAATTTATTTTATATCATTTTTGGGGGCACAGAGCTTTCTTTTGGTGGTATTTGAGCACCACTGGGGAAACATTTATCACCCAATTTTTTGGGTCATGTCAGGTAAACAGTCAAGCAAAACAAATGACAAACGCACTCATCAATTCGTTACCAGCTTTACAGCAAGGTGCACACGGAAGGGCTTCAAACAGTAAAACAGCAAAAAGTCAGTTCACCTACAAACCTCAGACAGAGCCACCAAAGAGCGATGCGTCAGAGAGTCCTCCATCCCTGCTGCTGACAGCTCATCCTGTGTTAAAAGGTGGAGCAATCACATTGTTGTTAATAAGCAACTGAATGTAAAAAGTTCAACCAAACTCAGAAGGAAAATTACAAAACAAGCTGCTGCCATATGCATCTGGATTTTATACTGCGCTTTGTTCTAATAACTTGAATGTTTTGGTGCTCCAACTGGTTACACAGAAGCTTATGTAAGGTATGTCTTCACAAATCCTGGTTCTTATAAAAAAAAAAAACATGTAATGTAGCTAAAACAAGTCATTTTTGCTAGGATTAAACCATTGCACTGGAGAGGAGTTCCTCCTAATGAGGTAATTTTAGGCTAGATCATCTCACGTCTATAGTGCCTGCAGACAACCGCGGTCAACTGCTTTGGGTGTGTGCGGGGGAATACAACTGATTGGACATGATAGAGAAACTCTTCCAGTCGCCTCTGATCGCTCACACATGGTCTCCCTTCTCCCTCAGCCAAAACAGTCATGATAATAGCAAAGCCAGCAAACTAGTGGTGTCAGCACAACTCACTGGCATCCTGTGTGTCTATGAAAATATTAGGATCTAGTTGTCTCTCAAAAAAAAGGATTCTGCGCCTATTCAGTTACCCGCACCTTAGCAGTCTCTATCTTGTATTTATACTCCTCCGATTTGTCTTTCAGTTTCTTCATATTCTGTGATCGGACCTCCACTTTGGCTTTTTCCATACTGCACTGCTCTTCTGCTTTCCGGACATCCCTTCAAGACAAACAATATTCATTCCATGGAATATGCTCTCTTAAATTAACGTGACAATAAACTCAAGGAGTTAAACCCCAAAAATACATTCAAGTACCTTAATTATTACCAAAAATGTATCTTATTTGTGTATCACTCGGCTGTAGATCCTCCAATCATCTCTGAATGGGCACTGACACTGTCCTTCCTTCTGGAGGGTGATTACTTTTGTTCCCCATGGTCCCTGTGTGTGATGTAAAGTAGTCACCACTCCAAGCTCACTCCTGTGATGGACTACAAATTCTCATGTTTAGTTAACTAATTTGTATTGAGATTGTAGTCCATCACAGGAGTGAGCTTGGAGTGGTGACTACTTTACATCACACACAGGGACCATGGGGAGCAAAAGTAGTCACCCTCCAGAAGGAAGGACAGTGTCAGCACCAATTCAGAGGTGATTTGAGGATCTACAGCCGAGTGATACACAAATAAGATACATTGTTGCTAATAGTTAAGGGACTTGAATGTATTTATAAGATTTAACTCCTGAGTTTAGTGTCACTTTAATGTTGACATTTTTATAAATTAATCTTTCCCCAGGGAGTAGCCAGAACACATATCCAGACTAGTGATGGGCTCGGGCGTGTTCGCAGCTCCACGTGCCGAGCCCGCCAGGAAGTTGACAGCGCCAATCACAGGTACTGAGACATTTCCCGATCTCTGCAGCTGCGGACCGGGAACATGTCTCAGTGCCTGTGATTGGCGCTGCGCGCTGTCAGCTTCCTGGCGGGCTCGGCACGTGGAGCTGCGAACACGCCCAAGCCCATCACTAATCCAGACATCTAAATATCCTGGTTCCATGGTCTGCACATACCTTCAGCGTGGCTCTACAAATTATATTTTTCTCTGAATGTGGAGGATGTGTATTTGGTGTGCAGACACATGGACTGAAGTGTGGAGTCCTCATCACCAAAATCCCTGATAATATATGTCCAGCATCTATCAAAAACATATCCGTTTGGGTGGACCAGCTAATATTCTCAGAGGGTATACATCTATAACTTACAGTTCCAGGGATTTCTCCAGCACTAGGGCATTGGTTAAATTCTTTCTCACGTTTATCAGCTCCAGTTCCAGCTCCTGATTACTGGCCTCTATGGCCACCAGCTTAGAACTCAGGTCATTCACTGCCGGGATGTAGCTGGAAAAAAAGCAAAAAACAAAACTTGCCATTAGATTCAGCAACAAGTCCACAGTAACCCCAAAAAGTTCTGCAGACCCAATACTAAACATCAGCAAATGGCATATGTACTGTTGTTACAGCTGATTATGGTAAGCTAAGGCTTGGTTAAAAACACACATGTGCATTCCTATGTACAGATTCTCCAAGCCCTAAACAGAGAGAATTAAACAATGTATAAAGTAATGACTTGTACTACACATGTTCCAACAAGGACAACACAGATTCCCATTTGTCTAATTCTGTCTTGCCCGGCTCAACAAAATACTGGAACTGAGCCTAAGGAATGTGCATGGGTCTCCCAGTGTTTTAGTGGTTATAGCTCTGTAGGTGTGTTCACATATTATTATTATTAGTGGTGCACCGAAATCGAAATTTTAAAACCAAAACGAAACTAAAATACAAATAATTGTCAGGCCGATACCGAAAATGTTTATTTTAATTTTTTCACATTTTTAAAATATTTTATTTTATAAACTTTAATTTTTTTTAACCTCTGATCTGTGATAGGCGGCTGAGCGGTGCGTTGAGAGACGCCGGCCGCTCACAGCGCTCTCCTCCCGCAGCGCTCAGCCGGCTGTTTCAGTTTCTCTCCTCCCCGCTAGGACACAGAGCAGCGCCCAGCGGGGAGGAGATGAATCAGCAGGAAAATGGCACTTACGGCATTTAGCCAAAAGTGCAATTTTCGGCGGCCGATATATCTGTGCATCCCTAATTATTATACAGGATTTATATAGTGCCAACAGTTTGCGCAGCACTTTACAATATAAGGAAGACATTACAATACAATTCAAGACAAGATGGTAAGGAGGGCCCTGCCCCTGAGGGCTTACAATCTAAAAGGGAGGGGCCAGTGATACCGGAGGAGGGAGCTGTGTGGGGATGAATTGTCTGAGAACGTGATGGTCGAGCGGTTAGGTTGAGGTGGGATAGGCTTCCCTGAAGAGATGAGTCTCAAAGGGATCACCTAAAGGCAGTCCGAGTGGGAGACAGACGGACCGGTTGGGGTAAAGAGTCCCATAGGATAGGAGAGACTCGAGAAGTCCTGGAGTCGAGCATGGGAGGAGTTTGATGGGGAGACATCTGGTGGGGTTTTACCATGAGTGAATGCTTCTGGGTGAAACCATGAATTAGGGTATTTCAGGGGTAGGTAACCTGGGTAGTCCAGCTGTGGTGAAACTTCAAATGCCGCTGGGTGCCATACCTGTGGCGGTCAGAGTCTTGCAATGCCTCTTGGGATTTGTAGTCTCGCCACAGCTGGAGTGCCGAAGTTGTCTTCCCCCTAGGGTTATTTTTTTTTGCCTTAATATGCTGATCCATATGCAAAGATTCTATGGAAGCACTGATCCAAACTGTACCAAAATGGAGGTCGGCCTTTTGACTCGCGTTCACAGCAGAAAACAACTGCCAAGGCACGAAAGTAACAAACTATCCCTTTCAAGGAACTTAAATCCCGAATCAAAGTCTGCATGACTAAAATCAAAGCAGCTCTAGATGAACAACTTAAAATAAAAAAATAAATAAAAAAAAACAGGCTCCCTGATCGCTCACTACTTGCTTGCAAACGTTGACAGATCTCACACACACCAATCAGCCATATCATTATGACCACCCGCCTAATATTGAGTAGGCCCCCCTTTTCCTAATGCATGGACTCCACTAGACCTCTGAAGGTACGCTGTGGTATCTGGCACCAAGCCGTCAGTAGCAGATCCTTTAAGTCCTGTAAGTCGTGAGGCATGAAAGTAAAACTATCCCTACTAGGTCAGCAACCATGTTTAGGTCGGGGGTACGTGTCAAAGTATCATCCACATGAATGGCAGGACCCAATTGCCCAAAGCATCACACTGCCTCCGCCGGCTTGTCTTCTTCCCATAATGCATCCTGGTGCCATCTCTTCCCCAGGTAAGTGACGCACAAGAACCCAGCCATCCACATGATGTAAAAGAAAACGTGATTTATCAGACCAGGCCACCTTCTTCCATTGCCCCGTGGTCCAGTTCTGATGCTCATGTGCCCATTGTAGGTGCTTTTGGTGGTGGAGACTTTTGGTCGGTCCTGACCACCAACATCCCACAAGAGCTGTAGTGTTGGAGTTCCTCTGACCCAGACATCTAGACATCACAATTTGGTCCTTTCCAAAGTCACTCAGATCCTCAAACTTGTCCATTATTTCTGCTTCAACACATCAACTTCAGGGACAAAATGTTCACTTCCTGCCGAATATATCTCCCCCCACTTCCAGGTGCCCTCGTAATATATCCCCCCCACTTCCCGGCGCCATTGTAATATATCCCCCCTCCCCCACTTCCAGGTGCCCTCGTAATATATCCCCCCCACTTCCCGGCGCCATTGTAATATATCCCCCCTCCCCCACTTCCAGGTGCCCTCGTAATATATCCCCCCCACTTCCCGGCGCCATTGTAATATATCCCCCCTCCCCCACTTCCAGGTGCCCTCGTAATATATCCCCCCCACTTCCCGGCGCCATTGTAATATATCCCCCCTCCCCCACTTCCAGGTGCCCTCGTAATATATCCCCCCCACTTCCCGGCGCCATTGTAATATATCCCCCCTCCCCCACTTCCAGGTGCCCTCGTAATATATCCCCCCCACTTCCCGGCGCCATTGTAATATATCCCCCCTCCCCCACTTCCAGGTGCCCTCGTAATATATCCCCCCCACTTCCCGGCGCCATTGTAATATATCCCCCCTCCCCCACTTCCAGGTGCCCTCGTAATATATCCCCCCCACTTCCCGGCGCCATTGTAATATATCCCCCCTCCCCCACTTCCAGGTGCCCTCGTAATATATCCCCCCCACTTCCCGGCGCCATTGTAATATATCCCCCCTCCCCCACTTCCAGGTGCCCTCGTAATATATCCCCCCCACTTCCCGGCGCCATTGTAATATATCCCCCCTCCCCCACTTCCAGGTGCCCTCGTAATATATCCCCCCCACTTCCCGGCGCCATTGTAATATATCCCCCCTCCCCCACTTCCAGGTGCCCTCGTAATATATCCCCCCCACTTCCCGGCGCCATTGTAATATATCCCCCCTCCCCCACTTCCAGGTGCCCTCGTAATATATCCCCCCCACTTCCCGGCGCCATTGTAATATATCCCCCCTCCCCCACTTCCAGGTGCCCTCGTAATATATCCCCCCCACTTCCCGGCGCCATTGTAATATATCCCCCCTCCCCCACTTCCAGGTGCCCTCGTAATATATCCCCCCCACTTCCCGGCGCCATTGTAATATATCCCCCCTCCCCCACTTCCAGGTGCCCTCGTAATATATCCCCCCCACTTCCCGGCGCCATTGTAATATATCCCCCCTCCCCCACTTCCAGGTGCCCTCGTAATATATCCCCCCCACTTCCCGGCGCCATTGTAATATATCCCCCCTCCCCCACTTCCAGGTGCCCTCGTAATATATCCCCCCCACTTCCCGGCGCCATTGTAATATATCCCCCCTCCCCCACTTCCAGGTGCCCTCGTAATATATCCCCCCCACTTCCCGGCGCCATTGTAATATATCCCCCCTCCCCCACTTCCAGGTGCCCTCGTAATATATCCCCCCCACTTCCCGGCGCCATTGTAATATATCCCCCCTCCCCCACTTCCAGGTGCCCTCGTAATATATCCCCCCCACTTCCCGGCGCCATTGTAATATATCCCCCCTCCCCCACTTCCAGGTGCCCTCGTAATATATCCCCCCCACTTCCCGGCGCCATTGTAATATATCCCCCCTCCCCCACTTCCAGGTGCCCTCGTAATATATCCCCCCCACTTCCCGGCGCCATTGTAATATATCCCCCCACTTCCAGGTGCCATTGTAACGATGTCACCTCTCAGTGGTCAGAACTTTATGGCCGATTGATATATATACACACACCAGATGGGGGACACTTGCATCATATAAGGCGACAGGTGC